TGGATGACTGAATGAACACAGGCGTCAGCAGGGCCACTTTGTAAGTTTGGAAAGGTGAACTGTGAACACGGGCATCTGGCTAAGGGGGAGAAATGTAGGTGTCCACAGGGATGTGGGGAGCTAAACTAGATGTTCTTTTCTGATTTGCACAAAAATACAAGTTATTTGGTATTGTTATTAAACAGTGGCACACTGGGTATGACAGAAAACTAGCAGAAACATTAAATCCTGTGTCAGTGAGGAAATACAAAACATAAGAAAGATTTGCCACACAGGAGGATGGGGATTTGGTTTCCAAAAAAAATGGAAATTTGGCTGTAGAGCTGCTGAGGTAGCTGAGAGAAGGTAGATCTGAGAAAGCTGTGATATACACTATAAAGATTCAGCAGCCAGAACCCACTTTGAGTGGATGACATAGCCAAGTTCAGCATGAGATAGTCAGGAACCTTACCAAACTATTGATATGCTAGTTCACAGCTCTTTGGGTGCCTTTCCTTGGACCAGGATCAATCTCAGAGCTCACAGTAGCTGAACCTGCAAATAGGCATTAGGGAACACCTACACCAGGTCCAGAAGAAATAGGACAGAGAATGCAGCCAGGAGTTAGCATTTGAAAAAAAATGCCAAAGCTGTTTATTCCATGGTATTCTATGATATTAGTTGAGAAAACCACAAGGTTTTTATGTATGATGATTGGAACAGTGTTTCCAGAACTGTTGCTGAACATGTGTATACGTGCGTGTTTAAGCAAGTGAGAAAAACAAGTTTTCTTTGGTTTGAGAAAGCATTAGGAGAGCCTGAAAATAAAAATCTGGCTATTTTTCAAGCATCAGTCCATAATGTTTGTTTTTATAAACAGTGCTGGCATTGCCTGGGAGGATCAGGCAATTTAGCAAGGACAGGGTTGGAAGTAGCAGGGTTTTATTTCAGCAGAATTTGTATTAAAAACACGACATTTTCTCTCTATTTTTCCAATTGATATTGAATGGATGTTGTTTAAGTAGCTAGTGAAATTGACAAATTAGAGAAATGTTGTGTAATGTGTAGTTTGGTATCAAAAGAATGGGCCTATGTTTATTTGTGGCAACTTAGATTTGTAGCTCTAAAACGTACTCCTTATGCAATCTGTGATTTAGGACCACAAAGTGATGGATGAGATTTTGTTTTGTTTTCATTCACCGGATATGTAAAGAAAAGTATGAAAAAACATTCTAATTTTCCTTCAAAAAGTACAAAGACTGCATATAACAACCAAAAAACATTTAGGAAACTGTTGTCTACTGATTGGGAAAGTCAGCATCGTACAGAGACTCAGATCTGGTAGATACGGATTGGATTCCTGGTTCTATTATTTGTCAGCTCAGGGAAGTTATTGTTCTGCTCAGATTTTCAGTTTCCTCAGGTCTAAAATATGAATCAGCCTCACTACTTATCTCACAAAGTGATTAACAGATGATATGAGGTAATATCTCTGAAGCATTTATTGTATGCTTTGGCACATGGTAACCACTCATGTCTCAGTCATTCAAATCAGCTGTTATTCATTGGCCATTTGTGGTAAGAAAAACAGAAGTTAATACAAAGGAAATTAGTCATAGGGCCTGTAACTGTATCCAACAACTATCTACTTAGCATCTCTGTGTGACAGGTACTGTTAGAAGCACTGGAAATAAAATGATAGAGAAGACAGACAGTGTCTACTATCATGGTACTTAGAAGATTGTTGGATTACTTATGGTAGCATGGTTATCTCTGTCTTTGGCAAATACATTAATTTTTTCCCTTTAATGCTTTTGTAATATATTCTAGAGCACTGATTCTCAAACTTTGATTTACACAAGAATCAAATGAAAGATGCTTGTGGGGCCTCAAGCATGTGCTTGTTTTTTTTTTCTTTTTTGTTGTTGTTGTTTTGTTTTGTTTTAGATACCAAGTCTCTCTATATAGTTTAGATGTAGTTTAAGCTGCTTCTGTGTAAGCTAGGCTGGCCTTGAATTTAGAGCAACCCTCCGGCCTCCACCTCCCAAGTGGTGGGATTACAGGGGTATGCCACTACATCTGGTTAGGAATGTTCATGTTGATAACCTTTCCCTCACCAGGCTGGTACTAATCTTTAAACAGTGTCCTAGAGCATCTTGCCCTTCAATGTTACCTGAATTTACTTTTCCAAAACTCTAGGACCAGAAAGTCTAAGATTAGAAGTCTGTTAGGTATCCCATTCATGTCTTTTAAAATAACAACGATGACGCTAGAAATAGAATGGTAAGAAATAGACTATTTTTGTCTCCCGTAAACTGATCTGAGATAGTGATACAAAGATTCATCTTCCTCATTTATCAAAACAGAATTCCCACACACTTATTTAATGTGCTAATTGTGAGCCTTATGTGAAATGCTGGACATATGAACTTACTGTAAACTTTAAAGTTCCACACAAATAGAGTGTACTTTTATTATTAAAGAGGAAAAAAAAAAAAACCCAGCAGCCATGATTGAGCTTCATTTAGCATGTATAGGTTATTTGCACGCTGGGTTACAGATCAATGTTTGAGAAGAAATGAACATTTGACTTCTGCCAGTGGGTTCTGCTGTCTTTCATTATCCTGTATGCGAACTTTAGAGGAATAATTGATTTTTGTTAGGCTTTGTAAATAATGTTGTACAGTCTCTGGTTTGAAGAGCCTGCAGCCAAAAAGCTGTCATCTGTCATGGTCAATATCAGTGTCTTCAAGTTTGTTTTTGTAATTGAAGCTGTATTTTTAAAACCGTGTACTCTATCCAAACTGGTTTCCCTTTGAGTGCTTTTGCTCAAAGCAAAATGGTCATTTTATGGAATCATTATTAGAGAATTCATGTATTTGTGGAAGACTTTTCTTGTGAGCATGCAGAGGAACCATATGTGTTTATTGAAGGATATCCTGGCTGGCCCTGGTCTCCTTTGCAACATGAATATCAAAGCTTTGATTTTGCCCATGAAATTGTACACAGTGGTGCAGCTTCCTAAATTTTTTTTCAATTGTTGAATACAGTCATTTTACTTTTTGAAGGGAAAAAGCATGTTCTTTCATATGTTTTTGCTTTCTTTACATATTAGTAAGTGAAAAATTACAAAATAAAATCTCATCCATGCTCTATAAAATCACAGATTGCCCAAGGAGTATGTTTTGAAGGTAGATAAGCAAAATTGAGTTACAAATAACTGACCTCTTTTTCTAGGGCTTTACACACTTAGATGTAAATATATGTATCTTAGGATTTTACATAATTTTATCTTAGATGTAGATATATTTTTAAAAAATTTGCTGGCCATGGTAACTTGCATTCTTATTTGATATTTGCATAAATTATGTTATTCTTGGTGGAAACGTAAATGTTCGATTTGAATATTTAACCTAGACTGTTTGGGCCTGTGGTAAATTGCTTTCCATGACAGCATAACAACTCAGTGAGGTGGAGGGTGTGTTCTCAATTGTAACCATGTGTGAGGGCGCTCAGGTTTGAAAAAAGCAAACTGACCTCAGCACCCTTGCCCCCACGCCTCCTCTGGGTTTGGGCTGTGAATCATGTCTTCTGATTTCCAAACCAGTGCTGACTCTTCACAGGAGTTGTATATACTAATGTAAAGTATGTGCAAACTAAGGTTTTCTCATTTAGCTTGCTTGTTTATTTGTTTTCTCCTGACATAGTCTTCATTTCCAACTAATTTATTGTAGTGGCATCTGGAAGTGGTTACTACTCTAAGTAATTGCTGACAATAAGAGAAGAGCAACACTCCATCCCAACCTGATAATCACTCTGGTTTAGGATTCTTAGCAAACAGCTCCATGTACTGTTTGGTGCAAAGTCTGAACTCTAAAAAGCACAACACGGTGGTATTTGTTACTATGACCCTATGTTATCAAGAAAAATTTCTGTTTTGTTTTGTGTATTCCACTTAGAAAGGCAAGAGTATGGTTTAAATTTTTCTGTCTGAATTTGTTTACCATTGAAAGGGAGGCAGTATTACATTATTTGAAAATATGTCTAGCCAAACTTGTACTTTATCAGCTGCAATGCCTTGATTGAAGTTAGTAGACCTGGAAAGGTGTGAGAGAAGTGATAGATGCATTTGTTTAGATGGAACAGAAACTTGATAAGCAAGGCAGAGAATAGTACACCTGTTTAAAGTCACACGTTGAAATACAGAATGTATTATAGAACCACTTAATTCAATTTATCTTTGCATGCATTATATGTGAAAGTAAGATTTTTACATTTTTATTTTTAAAGCAAAATGGTGGGACCGACTGCACATTTTAGAGCTTTTAAAAAATATTTCCTATAAAGTTTTTTTTTTTTTGCATTTACAGTCTAGAGAGGATTGTATACTCCCAGATTTTTGTCTGTCTGCAGATGTGCATTAAACAGTACAAAGTTTAGTGTCAAAATAAGCAAGTCATTAGGTGAATTTACCTGTGTTAAAACATCAAATAGATACATCTCAAAATGTATAGAGATTGAATATGTATGAAATATTTTTTCAGTAGGTTTTTTGTTTGTTTTTCAAAATTAGGACTCTAAAATTATGTAACATTTAAATATTGGGCATTGAAGAGATGTTTATTTACATCAGAAGGTATGTATTTGTTTTATGTTGAGAGCAAGAAAATGAATATTAAGTATTTCTGAAAAAAAAGTCTTAGATATAAGAGTAGATGTGTAAAATTTGTTATGAAGGAAATCTTTTTTCCTATTTAATCTAACATGAGAAAGTAGTTAGGAAGTCCCTAGCTTTGAGACTACAGAATAATATATTGTTCTAAGTACACATCATGTTGTGTTAAGACAGAAACAAAAGTTCTTTCTACACATTTAATAAATATTTTCAAATTTACAAGTTTATCATGTTTTCCATTCTCTTCTGTGTGTTCATTTGCTGTAGTTTATATGTGATTCATTTTAAAAATCTACCTGTATAATAATCTTCCCTTTTTCTTTGGACTCCCCTCCTTGTATTGCAGTGAGCCAGCCATGAGAGGGTACCTTGTGGCCATATTTCTGAGTGCTGTCTTCCTGTATTACGTGTTGCACTGTATATTATGGGGAACAAATTCTTATTGGTAAGTTTCATTTTTGCTTATGAAACAATTCCCACACTAGTCTTTCATGTATACACAAATGATATTAGAGGGACCTGTATATGTAAAAAAAAAAAACTTTGAAACATTATAACACTTTGAATCTGTTCTAGCTTTCTGTTATAAATTGGAGTCCTCATATTCCAGTATCCTATAAATTATATCACTAGCAATTTATTTATTTATTTGATTATTTATTTTTATTTTTGGCAGTTCTGGAGATTAAACCCAAATCTTCATGCATGCTAGGCAAGTGGTCTACTGAGTTACATCCCCACAGAATTTATTTTGTTTTGATACAGGGTCTTGTTAAGTTGCCCAAGTTGACTTCAAATTTAGTATCCTCCTGCCTCAGTCTTCTGAGTAGTTGGGAATACAGGCATGTGTTTCAGGCACACCTAGCTATATCTTTTAACAATTTAAAAACTGGTAAATAACCCCTGGTTTTTATTTACCATTCAGTGAAGTAGTAGTGCTGAACATCTTTAGGATATAACAGTCTCTGTTTATATACAGTCAATCCCCGACTTAGGGACATTTGCACTGCACACTGATAGATATGAATGCATTTGGCATTATAAGCATTCCTAGATGTAAATGGATTGTGGAAGTGGCTGACATTTCTGCGCACACTGTCACAGTTGTGCTGCTGCATGCTTACTGTGCAGTGTGATAGTGTACAGTAGTGCAGTGCTCCGTCAGGGCCTGGGAAGTCCGGAAGCAAGAGGAAAATCTATGGTGGTGCAGGGGGGACTTCCAGGAAGTGCAAAGCATCAGACATTGTATATTTGTGTCAAAGATGTGTAAGACTCACTTTACCTCACTTGGGACTGAATCTGACTAATGAATATTCTGGAAAGGAACTTGTTTTTAAGTCAGGGACTCAATAGTTTGTAATAGTTTGTCTCTTTAAGTTAATAGAGTAACTTTTTAGCTCAGTGACATTTGTCTTTTAGAGCCTAAAGTGCATAGATATGAAAATGTTGGTAAAATACATATACTACAGATTAGTCTCATTTGTTTAAAAATATGTGGTGACTGATGTGTGCCTTTTTAAAAATAACTTTGACTTAAAATACCGTGTGTAAAATTTGGAAGAAGCACAGATAATCTTGCTGCAGAGAAATCCTCTATAAATAATTTTTTTAAAACCATGCTCTTCATTTTCAGTCCTTTGGCTAGGAATAGTTTTGATGACCATTAAATGCTAAATGGATGACAATATAAAGTTAAATCAAAATAAATCACATGACAGCTGTCTTGTACAAAAGGTCAGTAGTCTATGTTAATGTTTCAATAGCAAATTTTAGATTATGTTTCTGGTTTATGCATACTAGATAAACTTCGATTGTTCTGTGTTTAATTTTATCATTAAAAATTGGTAATGCTTTTCATCGAAGTAAACCAGGCAAATGGGTACCTGGAAAAAAGCAAAGCAATATCAAATGGATGGCTAGGTTAGATTCTAAAGTTTGAGGATTTGGACCTGAATATTGTGCTGGCGGACTTTGAAGTCTTATTAAACATTCATTGAGTAATATATCACAGGGATCTGTCCTTCCATTTGTGCCACATCTAGCAATGGAAGACAGAAACAAAAGCAAACAGCTTATTAGGTTGCTACTTTCCTCACAAGGAAAATGAGAAAACTAAAATAATAAAGTAGGTCTAAATGCAACAGTCATTTGCCATCAGGATTTGGGGAATAGCCAAAGTGAGCCAACACATTACTCCATGGTGAAAATTACTCATATAAGTGTTTGTACTGTGAACTTGATTCCTTAAACTGTATATAACACATAATTGTCTTTGCTTTAAAAATCACCCACAGTTTGTCTTCTCGGTACCCTAAAATCAAATAATATACCTCATTTTGTCCTGTAAATATAATTCAGTGTTTGTGGTCTGATGAGCTAGTTTGACATCTGTACGTCTTCCTTAAATATAAACCAAAGGGTCCTTGCCATTTATTGTATTCATATAAGATGCTTACCTGCATAAGTACTTTAGAAGCCTTCTAGTTTGGAAAACTAGCAGTTGTAACTACGGAGATTTTTGATTTTATAGTATTGAAAAATATGTGTGTTCATAAAGAATTTAGTCTTGTTCCTGCAGCTTGAACCCTGATTATAAAAGTAATACTGATTAGATTTTTAAAATATCAGTATTTACATAATTGTTTATCATCAAAAAGTTTTCATATAATTTCTTTTCTGAACTTAACTCTGAATCCTGTCTTTCCCACCTCCATTTATTGTTGTTCTTGTGCTCTGTCATGTTTCACAACACCCTTTAAAATTATGGTGACAAGTAATCTATTCAAGAGTCACACAAGAACTAACCTGTGCCACAAATAGAGAAGAGTTAGATAAGACTATAAATGGTGTGATCTATGGAGTTCCCAAGACCACAAAGCATGGTCTGTTGAATCTGCTCAGGTCACATGTTTCTGTGGTGTTTGTAAGTGTCCCCAGGAATGCCACCAAGAATGCCAACTATTTGCATTTAAGGTATAATTGGTTTCTCAAAGTTTCAAGGAGGCTGGTTAAAATGGAGCTCCTTTTTTTAATTCCACAGTATAGTAACCCTACCCTTTTCTGAGAGTCCTTTGAATTCCTGGTCCAAGAGTCACCTTGGCTTTTTCCACTCTTCTTGCTTTGTATTCACAAATCCTCAAATGTGTAGAACTTAGAGAAGCTCCTGTCACAGCTCAGAGACACAGGGAGGAGTTTTATTTTCTGCCTGGGAAGCCTGTCAGTGGCAGCACAGAGTAAGTTCCCAGGGCATTTGCTTCCCTTTGGGCAGGCTTCCCGGTTCTGTTTCTAACTGACACTATTTTTGTCTCCTAGGGTACCACCTGTGGAAATGAAGCGGAGAAATAAGATCCAGCCTTGTTTATCAAAGCCAGCTTTTGCTTCTCTCTTAAGGTAAAAATATACCCAACAAACTGTGGCATACAAAATGTCTAAAGTGTGTTACTGATCATCTTCCCCATTTCTTTTTCATACAAATCTTAACAGAACAAAACAAACTTTTGTTTACAAAAATAAACCTTGAATATCTTCTCTCTTTCTATGCTCTTAGTGCCCTTCATATATTTTAAGATAAGGCATTCAATAACTCAGTCAAATCATTCTTTTCAGACAAATGAGATTAGAAATCTTACTTGTATTAATCATAAAAGCTGTTCTTTAGGATTTTATCATTCCTCTGATCCTGAGATGTTTTTCAACCTTACTACTGTACAATTTCTTTTTCCTTCACTCTGATTTAAACCTTATGATTAGAAATTTTGTCTGATTTTTACTGACTTTTGGTAAACTACATAGGCTGCGAATGCTTAATCTGGGTACATTTCATAATGACTATTCATTGTGGTTGTCAGAACTTGTAAATGGTTTACTTCTCTGTCCATAAATATTCTTTTCCTTTTTACATAAATTTTGACAGACTGCTGATTGAAATTCTTTTAGATATAAGTGTCCATCTTTTAGAAAGGTATAAAACTTTTAGCATTTCTTTCTTTGACCAATCAGAATTCATAGTTTTTTATATGTGTTTTTTTACAAGTTCTTAACCTTTTGGAGCAACAGACTCCTATACAATCAGTCAGCTGCGTAGAAAATTGCAGATACACACAACCTTTTGCATGAGACCTTATGGCTGTTTGTAGTCCATCTGTGGCTATGTGTCATTAGGAGCACTGCAAAACTAGAACACTTTGAAGCTTTTTTTTTTAAACCATGAAATACATTATGCTTTGCAACGTAGTACACACATGTATTTATAGAAAGAAAAAAATTTTACCGTCACTGTTCCAGATACACTATGTTCAGTTCTATTTACATTTTTCAAATATAGTCCTCATGATTCACACAGTAGGTATATAAGCCACACATAGGTGGTGGATGACAGATTAAAATGCTTCTTTGGAGTAAAGGTACTCTATAGCTTCAGTGGAAAACATTTTTCTTCCTACGAAAACCCAAAAAGGTTGAATTATTTATTTATGCAAGAGTGATTACCAAGTATGTAAGTCTGCAGATTTTTAAAAGTTAATTCTATTGGCGCAATTTAGATATACACATTTATATTCATTGTAGGGAACTTGTACCTATATGTAATGTATCTTTATTCTTTTCCCTTCCTTACTTTTCGCCTTCCCCTTTCATTGTTCCTTTTTGCTGTTGAACATTTGCCTTCAAGTTCACAATACCTATTATACATTGTAGTGTTTATTTACTCTTTCAGTTTCTCACACCAGGAAGACAATGCAATACTGACATGTGTGTGCCAATTTATTTCACTTTAAGAGTATGTTTTCAAGATGCATTCATTTATGTAGAAATGTCTCAAGTTTATCCTTATTTTGACTGAGTAGTATTCCACTGAATTTTAAAAACCACCTTTTTTTTATCTATTTCTTAGTTAATAGGCATTTGGGTTGTTTCCAAAATTTGGCTATTACAAACTGTGCTACTGTAAACATGAGTGCACATGTATCATTGTGGTATGATTTATTAAATTCTTCTGGGAAGATATCAAGAAGATAAATAGCTGGGTCCAGTAGGACCTCTAATTTTAGCTTTTTGAGAAACCTCCACAATAGTTTCCACAGTGGTTGCACTAGTCTACCTTCCCACCAGTAGTGGAGAAAGGTTCCTTTTTTCCCCACAGCTTCACTAGTATTTATTATTGGTTGATTTCTTGTTAATAGCCATTCTTTCTGGAGTGAAATAGAATCTCTGCTTTAATTTGCATCTCTTGAATAACCATTTTTTCATATTTGCTTGCCATTTGTATTTCTTCTCAGAAGTGTATATTCATCTTAGTTGCCCATTTTTAGATTGGATGTTTAAATTTGGGGGTTTGGTTTTTTTCAACTCTTTATATGTTCTAAGTGTTATTCCTTTGTGTGAAGTACAGCTGGTAAAAATTTTTTCTACTCTGTGGGTTCTCTTTTTCACTGTGTTGGTGATTTCTTTTGCTGTCCAAAAGCTTTTTAATAGGATGAGGTTCCATTTGTTGATTCATTGTAACATTTCTTCATGTGATGGGATTTTATAAAATCTTTACCTGCACTTATGTCTTCAAGAATTCTGCCTGTTCTCCCTTCTAGCAGATTTAGTGTTTCTGTTTTAATATTTTAGAATGTTGATCCATTTCAATTTTAGTTTAGAGCATGGTGAGAGACATGGGTTTACTGTTTGGCATGTGGAAAGCCAGTTTTTCCAGCCCCTTATATTGCAAGGGGCTGTCTTTCTTTTAGTAAATGTGTTTGGCCCCTTTCTCAGACATAAGGTGGCTAAATGTATATGAGGTTGTTTCTGCATCTCCTAATCTGTTCCATTGATCGTCAGGTTTGCTTTTTTGCCAGTAGCATGCTGTTTTTATTAAGTAACTTTGCAGTGTAATTTCAACCTGTTGATTGTGGTGCCTACAGTCTTGCCCTTGTTGCCAAAAATTGTTTCTGCTATTCTAGATCTCTTCTGTTCCACATGAATTGTAAAAATGTTTTCTGTAGTTCTGTGAGATATGCTAATGTATTTTTATTGAGATTGCATTAAATCTGTACAAGGATTTTGGCAGTATGGCCATTTTCAGTATGTTGGTTCTTGCTACACATGAGCAAAGGATATATCTTTCCATTTTCTGATATCTTCTTTGATTTTCTTTTTCAGAATACTGTAATTTTCAATACATAATTTAAATCCTTTGTCAAATTGATTCCTAAGTATTTTATTTCTGGAAGCTATCGTGAATGGTGTAGTTTCCTAATATCTCTGTCAGTGAGTTTATTGCTTGTGTATACAAATGCTATTGATTTTTTTGAATGTTGACTTTGTATTTATGTACAGAACTAAATCTGCTTATTAAATCTAAGGACTTTTGGTAGAGTTTTTAGGATCTCCTATATAGAGCATTATGTCATGTACAAATAATGATAATTTAAATTATTACTTTCCTATCCTTATACCTTTTATTTCTCTCTCTTGTTTAATTGCTCTGGCTAATGTTTTCAAAACTATATTGAATAGGAGTGATGATAATGGACATCCTTGTCTTGTTCCTGATTTAGATTGAAAGCTTTCAGTTTTTGACATTTAGTATCATGTTGGCTGTTGCACTGTCATTGATGGCTTTTATGAAATTTAGAGAAAGATCTTATTCCAATTTTCTGTAGGGTTTTTAACATGAAGAGTGTTGGATTTTTGTCAAATACTTTTTCTGCATCTATTTTAATGATCATGTGATTTTTGTCTTTGGCTCTGTTGATATGGAGTGTATTACATTTATTGATTTGCATATGTCAACCATCCCTGCATTCCTGGAGTGAATCCCATTTGGCATAGTGTATAATCTTCTTGATGATTTACTGCATTTTGTTTGCTACTCTCTTACTGAGGATTTCTGCAGGTATGTTCATTAGAGAGATTGAGCTTTGGTTGAGTCTTTCTCTGGTTTTGGTATGAGGGTAATAGTTGCTTCCAGAAATGAGTTATGGAGCAGTTTTCCCTTTGAATTTTCTTGAAGAGTTTCAGCAATAGTGATACTCAATTCTTTCTAAATTTCTTGTAAAACTCAGCGGTAAATCCATCAGGACCAGGGCTTTCTTTGTTGGTAGGTTTTTAGTTGCATCTTCAATTCTACTGACTGACATTGGGTTATTTAGAATTTTTATATATTCATCAGTTTTGTCAGTTCACATGTAGAAATCTGTCCATTTCTTCTGTTTTCTATCTTACTAGAGTACAGGTTCTTGAAGTTGATATTATCTTCTAAATTTCTACAGAATCCATTGTGATTTCATCCTTTTCCTTCCTAATTGCATGAATTTGTCTTCTTTCCTTTTTATTACAGTTGATTAAAGATTCAGCAATTTTATTTAATCTTTCAAAGAACCAACTCTTCAATTCATTCTTTGTATTGTTTTCTTAGTAGCAACTGCATTAATTTTTTTCTCCTATCTTTATAATTTCCTCCCTTATATAATCTTTAGGTTTGATTTGTTCTTTTTATAGAAGTTTGTGGGTCAAAATTAAGTTGTTTATTTGAACTCATTGCATTATCCTGATGTGAGAATTCATCACTATAAATTTTCACTTAGGACTGCTCTTAATGAATCTCATAAGTTGTGGTATGTTGTACTGGCATTATCAGTTGTAGATACTATTTAATTTCTTCTTTAATTTTGTCTGTGATCTATTGGTTGTGCATGAGTATGTTATTTAACTTTCATGAGTTTATGTAGTTTTCTGATTTCTTTTGTCATTGATTTCTGTTGTCCTTGCACTATGGTCAGATAATATGCATCACATAATTTTTGTTTCTCTTCATTTATTTAAGCATGTTCCATGACATAGTTCGTGGTCTGTTTTGGAGAACATCCCATGTGCAGCTGAGAGGAATGTGTATTGTGCTGTTTTGGGGTGAACTCTCTGTAGACATCTACTAAGTCCACCTGTTCACAGGTTTGACTCTGTTCTCATATTTCTTTGCTGACTTTTTGTCTAGTTGATTTGTTTGTGACAGCAGGGTATTAATGTCCCATTACATTCACGTCAGTGCTCATTTGATTTTGCATGAATGTTAATATTTGTTTTATGTAGTTGAGTGTACCAGTATTTGGTGCATATATATTTGTCATTGTTACTCAATTTTCTTGGAGTTTTCCCTTAACAAATATGTAGTGACCTTCTTTGTTTCTATTCATCAGTCTGGGCTTGAAGTTAACATTGTCTGCAAATAGAACAGCTACTCCTGATTTTTTTCTGGGGTTTTTGTTGCATAGAGTATTGTTGTTGCATAGAGTATTGTTTTACATCCTTTGACTTTTCAGTCTATGAATTTCTTTTTGAGTTAAATGTATTTATTATATGTAACATCTTGTTAGATCTTGTTTATTGATCCATTTTGTCAGTGTTTC